CGAGTCAGTTTTGTTAGAATATTTTATGAAAATAGTGTAAATATTTTAATGCTAAAGAATCTTCGTGATAATTTTATTCTTTATCACATATCAAAATTGGTGAGCACACAGTTTTCGCCCGTTAGAAATTTCACGCATTACTTCGCGAAAAAATAACATGATATTACTTCAAACTGACTTGAAGTAGCTCCTAGCTTTGACTGAGTCAGCTTATTCTCACAACAAAATAAGTTTTTGTAGAAGAGAAAACGAAAACTTCGAGAAATTCTCTTACAAAAACTCGTTCAAAAAACTAGTTATGTTGCAAATACCATCACCGAATAAATGCTAGAGATAGACATTATCTTTTATTTTGCTTTCTGTCTGTACTGGGTAGCACAGCACATTAACATTAATTATTCATGCATTATTGAGCTTACAGACCTAGGAGAATCATTTTATACACAGTGAGAACTTAACAAAAGGAAAAGTTTTGTACACTCAAGAAGTTGTGAGTGACAAAAAGACAAAAAGTGGAAAGTTCTCAAAATGGGTGTGCTTACAAGAAAACTGAGGTGGTACAGCATAATCCTTTATCTCGTGGGAAGCATTATAAGCTTGGTTGATCCGGTTACAGATATATTAACAGTATCGAAGTTTTACCACGCTGGTCACAAGACGTGGTTTGGTGTGGGGCTTCTTTTCATTATTCTACCGAGTCTGCTTCTTCCAATGGTTCAGTTATTCTACTCTGCCTCTCCTCAGTCTTGCTACCTACTTTACAGCCACGAAATTGGAAAAATACGTCAGCTTTCGTTTTTGTGCAGCTGTCATCCCTTCTCCGCCGCTTGGGCAAACTTTCAAGTACTTATCCTTTGCTTGAAGAACTTTGAGAAACTTTGGAGGGGCGAAGGAATCGATTCTGCTCCTGAATCGAACGATGATGTAGCTACTGAGGATGAAGCTACTGAGGACAAAGAAGAAAAACAAGTGGTGTTTAGCAAAGTAGCTTCGTACGTTGAAGCGTCAGTGGAATCTGCGCCCCAGTTTATCATACAACTTTACGCCATGGTAGTTCAAAAAGAAGCGATCGGCACAATTCAAATAATTTCGCTTCTGAGTTCTTTCACGAGCATAGTGGTGGCATTTACTATCAGCGAAGGATTGTTTTATGATAAAA